TAGCAGACGAGAGGCGTTGAGTCGACCTCTACGAGTTTCCATAGTTGACGAGCGAGCGGTGTATGCTACGGAGGTGATACGAGGATGTGTACTCAAGGTATTCGGCGTTGAGTTCCTGATAGATCTGGTCCCGTTAGCGATGGGGGACGTGTGCGTCATAGTGGGCATGGATTGGTTGAGCCGATTTGGGGCTGTCATAGACTGCGAGCGACAGTTGGTGACGATACGAGACCCTAGTGTGGGAGTACTTACGGTGTACGGCAAGGGTACCCGATGTGGGTCGGCGTTTTGTTCAGCCGCCAGAGTGAGATTGAGTTTACAGCAGGGCTGCAGCGGGTTTGTAGCCTATGTGATGGGTACAAGAGGGGCCGTTGGGAGGCCAAGTTCGACGGATGATATTCTGATAGTGCGTGAGTTCCCGGATGTTTTCCCGAGGAGTTGCCGGGTGTGCCTCCCGAGAGGCAAGTAGAGTTGCATCGAGTTGGTTCCGGGGGCAGCGCCTATCGCCAAGGCGCCTTATCGCCTTGCGCCGCCAGAGACGTAGTAGTTATCCTCGCAGCTTCAGGAGCTGCTGGGGAAGGGTGTTGTGATGCTACGGGAAGCCGTAATACTCACTAGTTAGAGGTTGTTGTGATACTATGGGGAGCCGTAGTACTCACTAGTCAGAGGTTGTTGTGATACTATGGGGAGCCGTAGTACTCACTAGTCAGAGGTTGTTGTGATACTATGGGGAGCCGTAGTACTCACTAGTCAGAGGTTATTGTGATACTATGGGGAGCCGTAGTACTCACTAGTCAGAGAGAGGTTGTCGTGATACTACGAGGAGCCATAGTACTCACTAGTCAGAGAGAGGTTGTTGTGATGCTATGGGGAGCCGTAGTACTCAGCAGTCATAGAGAGAGTGTTGTGATGCTACGGGGAGCCGTAGTACTTACCAGTCAGAGAGAGGGTGTCGTGATGCTACGGGGAGCCGTAGTACTCACTAGTCAGAGCAGGGCATTGTGATGCTACGGGAGGCCGTAGTACCCACTAGTCATTAGGAGGTTGTTGTGATGTTACGGGGAGCCGTAGTACGCACTAGTTAGCGAGAGGCTATTATGAGGAAGCATTCTTGATCAGAGCATGAAACAGAAGGGTTTTTGGGCTTGAAAAGCCCTACGCATGAGTTTTGAGAGCCTGGTGGTCGGACCAGGGGTGAGACCGGGGTCTCCTCAATGATTGGGAATCATTATATTCTGAGTAAGTGTAGACATCCAATCCGAAGGGATTGGATAAGTAAAGTACGCATGGGTTGTGGGTCACAAGCTATGAGTTGAATGAGTCATTGGAACGAGCGATTCCAACTACGGGTCGGACCAAACTCTTGAGCTGAGTTGAGTCCTGGTGGTGTGTTGAACAGACCGGACCGAAGGGTCCAACGATATAGACCAGACCGAAGGGTCCAAAGATGACCATTAGATGATAGAGGTCGGGGTTGAGTCGATCTCCAGTTGGGACACGTATTTACCATTGGCTGAGTTTTCCTATAACAACAGCCATCATTCGAGCATCGGTATGCCACCCTTTGAGCTGTTGTATGAGAGGAGGTGTCGGACTCCCGTTTGCTGGGGAGAGGTAGGACAGCGTGTGATGGGTAGCACTGAGATAGTGATGCAGACGACAGAGCAGATACAGCAGGTTAAACAGAGACTACTGACGGCTCAGAGTCGTCAGAAGAGTTATGCGGATCGACGACGATCCGAGCTGGAGTTCCAGGTGGGGGACTTCGTACTCCTGAAAGTATCTCCTTGGAAAGGAGGGATCCGATTCAGGAAGAGGGGTAAGTTGGGGCCTCGGTATAATGGTCCTTTCAGGGTGACTGCCAGGGTAGGCAGGGTAGTGTATCGTTTGGAGCTACCTACGGAGTTGAGCCAGATTCACGATACCTTCCACGTGTCTCAATTGAGGAAGTGTATCGCTGATGAATCGGCAGTGGTTCCGTTAGAGGACATTCAGGTGGATGCGAGCCTGAATTATGTTGAGAGACCGGTTGCGATTGTGGATCGAAAGATCAAGGTTCTGAGGAACAAGGAAGTGCCCCTGGTGCAGGTCTAGTGGCAACATCGGAGAGGGTCCGAGCTGACTTGGGAGCCAGAGCGAGAGATGCGTGAGCAGCATCCAGAGTTGTTTGTGGAGTGAGACTTCGAGGGCGAAGTCTGATTCTAGTGGGGGAGAATTGTAACATCCGGATTCCCAGGTATCTTAAATTATGTATTTATATTGAGTTTTGGGAGAGGCACTTGGCGAGTAGGCGCTCAGACTCGCCGAGTAGAGTCGCGAATTCTTATCCGGATTGATGACCGGACTCGGCGAGTCCATATGTGGACTCGGCGAGTCCATATGTGGACTCGGCGAGTCCACGCTGTTTAATGAAACCCTAATTTCTCGGGTTTGGGGACTATTTAAAGGCCCTTATGGCCGTCATTTGAGGTCACCAGTCCATAGAGAGAAATCCTAGAGTGTTTGAGCATTTTGAGAGAGAAAGGAAGCCATTTTTGACCTTGGGAGTGTTGTTTAGCAAGAAGAAGGAGGTACTAGCCAAGAGGAAGCATAGGAGATTGCTATTCTGTGGATTTGGAGCTGAGATCTTCACATTTGAGGTAGTAATTCGACTCTCCTTCTGTTCTTATGATGATCATATGGATTTAGGGTTTCTTAGACCCTTGTTGGTTAGATTTGATGTCCAACTAGTCCCTTATGATGGTGAGGCTTTGGATCTGGATCCATAGAGGTCCAGAGAGCCTTATTCTTTAAGCTTTATGAAGAACAATGGAGGTTATGACCTTGGGTTAAGGTATTTGGGGCTAAATCATCATATATGATCAAATAGATGTTGTATGTGCATCAAGATAGAAACTTTACGTGATTATTGGGTTTGAGAATGATAGATCTAGAGGTTAGAGGATTGGATCTGACCTCAGGAAGTTGTTTGAGAATGTGCATGGAATGAACTCGCCGAGTCCATGAACGGACTCGATGAGTAGAGTCGGGTAGCCCCGCGACTCGCGATCTGTGACGACTCGTGGAGCATAGGGTTGACTCAGTGAGTCAGAGGGAATTAGAGGACTGGAGTTCAAGGCGGAACTCGCCGAGTCCATGAACAGACTCGGCGAGTTGAGTCGGGGTGGCCCCGCGATTCATGCCAGGTGTCACCCGTCGAGTAAGGGGAAAGACTCGACGTGCCATGCGAGATCAGAGAGATAGTGGGCACGTGTAGACTCGCCGAGTCGCCCAAGTGCACTCGGCGAGTCGGGTCAAAGTTTGACCGTTGACTTTTATTGACTTTGAGGGTTTGGTCAACAATGGGATCTTTGTGTCAAGAGAGGGGTAAAATGGTCTTTTACCTTTCTGAGGGTGCCATGAGAGAGTTCAACCTAGTCTCGAGAGTTATATTTATGAGAGTATTTACTTTATGTGATTAGGCGGAGGCTAGGCCACATTTCTACCGAGTCAGAGAGTTACCGAGAGATCCGAGGTGAGTCTTCTCACTATACTTTACCTAGAGTGGTAATCAGAGCTATGAGACAGAGTATTGTGTATTCTTTTGCATGATGTGATTTATATGTGTTATATGTTATGTATGTTACAGAGTTTTCAGAGTTAGGACCGAAAGGTCCACAGAGTTAGGGTCAGAGGACCCACAGAGTTAGGGCTAGAGGGCCCACAGAGTTATGGGACTGGAGGGTCTCACAGAGACACTTTGACCAGACAGTCAAACAGAGTTATAGCCTCGAGTGGCTAATATGTGTTATGTGTGGTATTTTGGGGAACTCACTAAGCATTTATGCTTACAGTGTTGTGTTATGTGTCTCAGGTACCAGCGAGGATCGCGGGAAGGCGCCGGCTTGATCAGTACACACGCAGAGAGATTTTTATTATGATCTTGGGATATGATGTTATGATTGACTATGTGATACAATGGTGTTTTTAAAACGATTATGAATGAAAATGTGTTTTATAAAATGTGAAAAATTGTTTTGAAATTTTGGGTGTTACATGTAAATACCTACATCAATTTCTTTTTTGCGCAGACACATATAATGTTTATCGTTTTTCTTTAAACCAACACATGGATCGATTGAAGAAGAGGGAAGGGTGATTGAAGATGGGGAGGGGAGTGATGCGATTATTTATGCATATATGAAAGGACGTCATGGATGAATACATTATCTAAAGTGATGATTGTATATGGTGCAACACCTATAAACACTAACGCCATTGATGAATGCACCCTAACTTCCTTCATATAAATTGTTGTTTGTTGAAGTGTATCTAGGTGGTTTCATATTTTCTAAGTTACCAATTGGATTCAGAGTCTTCCTTTCTTTCCTTACGTTAAAACTAGTGGTGGACTTTATGTAGTTTAGGAATTTCTTGTATGAGTCTCGCCTTCTTCATGATATCATCTTGAGGTCGTCATGGGATTTTAGGGATAATGGGATTCAATAGAGGTGTGATTTTCTTGAATTGATCCAATCGTCACTATTGATATTGGAGGTGGGGGGCTTGGGAGAGAAAGATGGGGGGAGGTGGTATAATTAGGGGTGATGGGTGGGCCTTTCGTTTATTATTAATTAATTATAAACATTGAAATAAATGTAAAAAATGTAAAACAAGTATTCGGGGTATAATAGTCATTTCAGGTTGAGTGTAAAACAAATTGATAAAAAGTCAAGTTTGATATGAAAAAACCACAAAATGTATCTGATTTTGGACCAGTTATGTAAGTCAAAACGTTTTTGGACCGAAATCAAAATTTTTTGACAAGGACAAGGACCTTTCTTGCAATTTTCTATAAATTTGGGGCACAAACTCACGGTCGGAAACTTGTGCAAATTGAGTTCGACAATCTGTGTACACACAAACTCTAGTCAACACCTTCGTTTCATCTGCCAATTCTCATCCATTCCCAAATCAAAACCCCATCAAAGTAACCAATCTTTTCCCGTTACCTAATATCCATGGCTGAAATCGTTGCTACCGCTCTCATCAGTGTGCTGTGTGAGAAACTCATCTCTGTTGACTTGATGAAGCTGGCACGATCTGAAGGAATTGATTCCCAGATGAAAAAATGGAAGAAGACCTTGCCCATGATCCAAGCTGTGCTTGCTGACGCAGGACAAAATCAGATAAAAGAGAGAGCCGTTCAACTGTGGCTCGACAATCTCCAAGATTTGGCTTACGACATAGACGATGTACTCGATGATTTGGCTACCGAAGCTATTCAACGCAAGTTGGATCGGGAATCTGATGCCGACACTAACTCCAGTTCCAGCACTAGTAAGGTAGTCAAGTTCATCCCAACTTGTTGTACTAATTTCAGTCCTAGGTATGGTCGTCGGTTGAGTTCTACGATAGATGAGATTACCACAAAATTGAATGATCTTGTTGAGGTGAAAAACGGTCTGGGTTTTGTTGTAAATGTGAACGTTGACATCGCAAATAGAACTGAGAGACGATTGGAGCAAACTTCACTGGTTGATGAGTCCAAAATCATGGGTCGTGAAGGGGATAAAGAAGCATTGTTGGGGAAGTTGTTAGGGAATGATGAAAAAATGAGGATAGTGTCCATAGTTGGTATGGGCGGGATTGGAAAAACCACTCTTGCTAAAGTTTTGTACAACGAAGAGAAAGTGAAGGATCACTTTGAACTCAGGGCATGGATTTGTGTCTCTGAAGAGTTGGATGTACTTAATATTAGCAAGGTTATATTTCAAGCAGTAACTGGGAAAAACAGAGATTTTGCTAATCTTGATCTGCTTCATGTGGCCCTCAAAGAAAAACTTTTAAAGAAAAGGTTTCTACTTGTTCTAGATGATGTGTGGAATGAAGAAAAAAGTAAGTGGGAACTCCTTCAAAGCCCTCTTGTAGGGGCACCCTGGAAGTAAGATTATAGTCACAACCCGGAATACCAGAGTTGCATCGGTGGTGGACTCTGACGAATCTTACTATTTGGAGCTTTTGTCAAATGAAGATGCTCTATCTTTATTTGCTCAACATTCGCTTGGTGAAAACAACTTCGACAACCATCCAACACTTCAATTGCATGGTGAAGGTATTGTGAAGAAATGTGGTAGATTGCCTTTGGCTTTGAAAACACTTGGGAATGTCTTAAAGGGAAATAGAAATGGTGATGAATGGGAGAAGTTGTTGAATAGTGAGATATGGGATATACAGGATGGAAGTGAGATTCTTCCGGCTCTACGACTAAGCTACAATCATCTCCCTCCACATTTAAAGCTGTTGTTTGCATATTGTTCCTTATTTCCAAAAGACTATGTGTTTGACAAAAAAGAATTAGTCCTACTGTGGATGGCAGAAGGATTTTTGTTGCAACCAAATGGAAACAAGTCAATGGAGATTCTAGGTCATCAATATTTTGAAGAGCTAAAGTCGAGATCATTTTTTCAACATTCAATGAATGATGATGTAAGATATACTATGCATGATTTGATAAATGACTTGGCCACAAGTGTTGCAGGAGAGTTTGTTTTTAGATTGGATGATGAGATGGATTCGTCTGACAAGAAAGACACTTTTGAGAACTTTCGTCACTTTTCACTTGTAGGTCCACAAGGGGGATCCTATAGAAAGCTTAAAGAATTACAAAGAGCTAGACGTTTACGAAGTTTCTTAACAATGTCTCGGGTGGATAATTCTTTTTTTGAATTACTTCCACAACTACAGTTCCTAAGGGTTCTAAGCCTAGCTAATTACGTAATCTCAGAGGTACCACAATCCATTGGTAGTCTCAAGCATCTGAGGTACATCAATTTTTCTTATACTACAATCACATATATACCAGAAGAAGTAAGTGACCTCTATAATCTACAAAGCTTGTTGGTTCATGGTTGTTCAGAGTTATATGACTTGCCAAAAAGTTTCGCAAAGTTAATAAACCTACGACATCTCGACATTAGTGGTACTCCAAAACTCAAGAAGATGCCTTTAGGGATTGGCGTATTGACAAATCTACAAACTCTACCCAAGGTCATTATTGAACGAGGTAATGGGTTCAAAATATCCGAGCTTAAGAACCTTTCAGATCTTCAAGGTCGAATATCGATCATGGGGCTAGACAAAGTGATAAATCCAATACAAGCACAAAATGCCAATTTACATCAAAAGAAAGGTCTTGATGTTTTGGAGATGATATGGAGTGACGTGTTTGATGATTCTCGGAATGATATGAATGAATATGAAGTACTTAAACGGCTTAGACCTCATCATAAGTTAAGAAACCTCGAGATTTTGTTATACAAGGGAACACAATTTCCCAGTTGGGTTGGCGATCCCTTGTTTGATCAGTTAACTGAGCTTACATTACGGGGTTGTAGAAGTACACATTTACCAACACTTGGACATCTAAGGTCACTTAGGAAAGTGTTTGTTGAAAGGATGCATGGGGTGAAGACAATAGGTTTTGAGTTACTTTCACCTACAAATTCTCTCGTTGGCATTGCATTTCCATCTCTTGAAGTTTTGGAATTTGATGATATGCAAGGTTGGCAAATATGGTCAAGTATTGGTGCTAGCGATGATGGAACTGCTAGATCGTTTCCTTGTCTTCGTGAGATTTCTATAAAACGTTGCCCACTACTAGCTAAAGTATATATTGGATTTATACCATCGCTTCGGTTTTTACACATAGACGAATGTTGTGAAGTGGTGTTAAGAAGCATGATTGGTGTGTCTTCATCACTTGTTGAATTGGAAATGTTGAATGTTAAAGGATTTACTCAACTACATGGAGAAGATTTAATACGTCTTGGAGCAATTGAGTATCTATTTTTTGATGAATGTGATGAATTGAGATACTTGTGGGAACCAGAATCGGATGCGTACAAGAGTCTTGTGAGTTTAAAGAAGTTGGTGGTACATAGTTGTTATACACTAGAGAGTCTCAATTGTCCAAACAGTGTTGAGAGGTTGGTGATTAATCGTTGTCATTCTATGACATCCTTGATCTTCTCAGTGAACGAGCTTCCATCATCTCTGATTGAAACAATCATCTGTGATTCTGATAACACAGAACCCGTTCAAGAGAGAGGTTTTGGTGTTCTTCCCCCGTTATGCCTAAGATATCTTGATGTCCATAACGGCAAGAATCTAAATTCATTTCCTCATGATCGTTTGCAAAGTCTCACATGTCTGGAAGAATTGAGGATACATGGTTGTCCAAGTATAGACTACTCCTTCCCTTCTGGTGTTTGGGCTCCTAATTTAAGTATCCTATGCATAGGATGCTTAAAGAAGCCCATGTCAGAGTGGGGCCCACAGAATTTCCCGACCTCACTAGTTGAGCTACAGTTGTATGGCCATAACTCAGGGGTGGGTTCATTTGCAGTGGGAGAAGATGTGAGGGAGGCTACCGCTTCATCTTTTCTTCTTCCACCAGCTTTAACATCTCTAATTGTCTTTGATTTTATGGATGTGGAATCACTTTCAGAGGTCGTACAACAACTCCCGTGTCTTAAAAGTCTTGACATTTTCTCATGTCCAAAACTTAGTGATGTTCATGAGATAGCATCCTACCGATCATCTTTGACAGTATCAGTGATTCCATAAAAAAGAGTTATGTTGTGAACTTGCCCATCATTTTTGTCTGTTACACCAGGTCCTAAAAGTCCCGTTGTTAATTGAACTAGGATTTCAGTTTTTTGTAACTTTGCTGTTTAAAAAATGATCTTTGAACTATTAGTAATATTAACTCTGAGACACGTTTGTTTTGTTTGTTGAGATGAAGATTATTTTGAAATTTTAACTAATAATCAAATAATCTATTAAATCATAGAGAGTTAACCATTACATTTATCTTGGACGAATATACAATTTATTAATACATTCAATAAAAAATAACTGTGCTTGATTACACCGAATAACTGGTTTTTGTTTTTCCTTTTTTTTTTATCATTCTAATGTACTCAAATGACTCGTATCATCAATAAGTGTACATCTATTTTTTTCAAGTTTTTTTTTCATATATATATATATATATATATATATATATATATATATATATATATATATATATATATATATTCAAATTAAAACAATTGTACAATTGAAAACGCGAGAAAGAGGCTCTAATTTTAAACATAAGAAATTTGAAGGGTTTATGAAAAGCGTATTGTACATTTATTTATTCGTTTTATAATTTATTTATAATTTATTATTTAAAAAGATAAAGAAAAACATCTACCCCACCCCACATTTCTAAGAACATATCGAGTTATTGACTCCGTCTACCTCTTTCTCTCATCTTAAATCTGCACCACAATTATGTTCGTCGGACCGCTGCCGGAACCAATTTACCGCCATCATACCGTTGTCGGATCCATCATAGTGCCACTTCTTCACTCTTTCCTGATATGCTTGTCCACCACATCTCATCGTCGAAGACCACCTTCATCTGCCTCTCATCTTCCCAAACCGCTACCAGATTTCGTTTCAAAGACCATTAGATCTTGCTTCACCGGATCTGAAGCAGAAGTCCATCAGATTTGGTCTACTATCTCGTTCCAACATTTTACAGTCACAAAACCGAGAACGAAGATATGCTCTTTCTTCCTTCATCATCTACTGTAACAGTGATAGTTTCTCCGAGCTGGAAACCCACCCAATCGTAGATGCCCTGTAGTTCTGGATTCAAAATATGTGTATTATCAGGTATGTCGACATTGCCCCTGTCATGCCATCTGTTAAATTCTTCTCCTGCTTCTTTGTGTTGGTAGCTTTCAGATTTATTGATATAATGTTATTTTTAGGTTGTAAATTATGTTCTGGATTCACATCATATCTTGATTATAAGTAAGTATTGTGCATTCTGGAGGTAAATTAGATGTTATTGAGCTTGTGTTTAGCATACATTCTTACGAACATGATTGAGTAATAATTTCTGGTTTTTTGATTTTGTTAGGTCTAGTAGTGACCACTGGGATGTTCGTGACAACTTGTTTCATGACGATGGTGATGATAATCGTGAGGAAGCAGCAAATTATAACTCTTCTTTATTTCTTGTACTTTTCCGATCAATCAAACTCTTTTACCTCTAAGCTGCCTTCTTCAAGGTTCCAAAAGGTGGATGGATCCCACTCCTACTCTCTCTAACCTTCATGTCATATTCATATGGAATTATGGTAAACCAAAAAAAAAAAAAAAAAAAAAACGAATTTGAACATGTGATAGATACTTATATGATTTGAAAAAAAAAAAATTGAAATATTACTCAATAGTTCTTATCCCTATCGGTACGATTGTTTTTGAAAAATGTTATATTTTTGGTAGTATTTTGAACTAGATGACATCAATAATTGTTGTTGGTCTAAAAAAAGTATATCATTTTGTTACGTAGAGCTTTTCCCATGTATGATATTTATAATAATTTATTGATTTTATCTTGTTAAAAAGCTTCTTAGCAACTATATATAATAAAGTTGGAATATATGTATGAAATAATGAACGGTAATTAATTTTTATTTTTGTGCATATTTAGCTTATTCACATGTGATTAATACAAAATATACGCAAAAATAGAAAAAATTATAAAAATTGTATTTTTATAAAAAACATCGTATGTAAAAATATTAAACAGTTCAAACGAAAACAATTATGGAATCTAGAACGCAAGAACAGATTAAATCACATGTGAATAGGTTTTAATCACATATGATTAAATATATATAATAATAAAAATTAATAAAAAAATAAAACAAATTCGTTACGTGTATATTCACATATGAATAATAGGCTTTAATCACATATAAAAAACCTTAATTACATGTGAATAATATGGTTTAATAAAATGTGCATAGATCCATATAAATTTATTTAAAAAAAATTGGTTATGTGTATTTGAATATGAATAATAGGGTTTTATTAAATTTGAAAAACTTAATCATATGTAAATAACATGGTTTAATCACATTTCAATAAATACATATAATACGAAAAACTATTAAAAAACAAAATAGTTCATTATGTGTATATTCACATGTGAATAGCTTAATCATATATGAATAACATGGTTTAATCACATATGAATAACATGCTTTAATCACATGTGAATAGTTTAATCAAATATTAATATCACACTTTAATCTCATATGAATAGCATTAATCATATGTGAATACCATGGTTTAATCACATATGAATAAATTAATCATATGTGATGGTAGGATTCAAAGTAGGGGTTGACAATGGCAACATGTGAAGGTGGTAGGGGTAGTAGGGGTTGGGATGGTGGTGGTGGTTTGTGAATATGATGGATGAGGGTGGAAATAATTGATATTATATGGTATATTCACATGTGAAAATGAATATGTCATTCAATATTCATATGTGAATATTACATAATATATTCAGTTATGAATATTATATGGTATATTCACATATTAATATTCACATGTTAATAATGTATGTGAATATTATATGGTATATGCACATATGCATATGTTATGTAATATTTATATGTGAATATACCATGTAATATTTACAAGTGAATATATCATGTAATATTCACATATGAATATATCAACTATCTATATGTATAGAGGTAGGTGAGGTTTAAGCACACGTGAATAGCTTTTAATACATATAATAAGAAAAATTATTAAAAACTAAAATGTAACATCCCAAATTTTCAAGCCAAAAATTTCGTTTTTAATGTAATAATTTAGAAAACATTTATAAGAAAACATCATCGAGTCACATCTTTTCATAAAACCATAATCTCATGTCTCAAAATCATATCATAAAAATAGTAACAAAATTAGAGTACAATCCCAAGAATCTCATAGTACGAAAATCCTGTGTGCGTGTGATGTGCCGCTACCGCGCTGACTCATTCCCCTTCGCTGAAGAGGTACCTGAAACAAAACTGAAAACTATAAGCACGACGCTTAATGAGTTCCCCCATCATACCACATACCATACATAACACATTCTGCCACGCATATCTGGGTGCCCGACCTACCCCTTCGGTCCTATCGACCGGTGACCTTGACTAGCATATATGGGTGCTGACCTACCCCTTCAGTCCTCTCGACCGGTCTCGGGGGATTATTTCACCTCTACTACTACCACATAATATCATATCACAAAATCATAATCTGTCTAGCATAGTTGGGTACTAAACTACCCCTTCAGTCCTATCGACCGGTAACTTGGGAACTATCTCCCCCTATTGCTACGATCACATAACATCATAACATGCTAACACATAAACATATCAAGTAGCAGCCAACCTAGACAATTATCACAAAGACAATCGTCTAATATACACTCCTACTGGTGGGCCGACATTGTGGCCGTAGACCCACCGCTACTGGAAGGTAACTCACATCGATGTCGTGTAGTATACGCACAGCCCTCGGCTGTCACAACTAGCATTTTTGCTAGGAAATTCAACTCTCATGTAACCATTCACCTAGTGTAATAAACTTGTACTCTAAGCGAATATCATACTCTATGCTCATTCAAATACATCTCATAAGTCCAAATAAGGGATGGAAACCCTAAGAATCCCGGTTCAAGTTCATTATGGATTAGAATTTTCTAATTGGGCCTAATGGACCAATAAGCATTCAGTTTAACTATCTTGGGCTTAGAACCCTTAAATGGGCTCTAAATGGACCCACATTCATAAAATTTACCATTTTGGGCCATATGGGCCTAAGATGGATTAGTTTATCTCTAATGGGCCTTGTTGGGCCATAAATGATTTCAATAATCCTAATGGGCCGTAAACCACCTAATGGACTTTTATAGGGCCGTGGGTCGTCCTAAGGGCTTAATGGCTGAAAAATTTATATAATGGGCCTCATAATATTGCAATCAAGAACTTAAGGCCCAAACCATTCCTCCTTCATTCTCTTCTTTCTCCCTCTCATCCCAACAAAAACAAAAAAAAAGAGAGAAAAAGCCCATGAATATAACAAGTGACACCTCATTGTTATTTTATGGGTAACCAAGTGAATTACATAACATGTATCTAAGCACAAACACCCTTAACCATTATGTATTAACCTTTTATCCTTCCCCTTCCATCTTTTTAATTGTGGCCGAGAGCAAGTATACACACACACATCTTCAATTTTTCAAACACTCTTAAATCTCTTAAGAACACTCCCTTTTCCATCAAAATTTCGAGATTTGTGAAGTGCTTCAAGAGGATCCTTCACCAATATCATCATCCTTGGTAAGTTTTTGCTTCGATCCATGGTTTAGCTTCTTGATTCTTCAAAAAATCTCCTCCTAACTCATACCATTTCGTGAATCATGCATCTTAGAGCCATCTAAGTTCTAAAGTTGTTCAAGAAGCTTGCTAGGACCAAGTTCTCTTCACATCTTCACCAAAAACCGAGAACAACAAGCAAAGGTGAGTTCATACTGTGACATCCCCATTTTTCACGGCCAGAAAAAACCGATTTTGTTTATGCTTTATAAAAATCAGAGTACCTCTTTTAATGAAATGGTTGCGGAATTTGTTCACAGAAAAAACATGATAAATACGTTATCAAAGCATTTTCGAAGAAATGTATTTTTATTCATTTTAAAACATTGGGATGTCATCGTCAATACAGAAACATAAGCATAAACAGAACTTACATTCATTTACACTAGTGATCTACATCTCTTTTAAATCTCTCAGTGTAAAGTAGCTTCGTATCGACACCTGTGATACAAATAAGCTTGAGTGGGTCAGGTTGGGAAACCTGGTGAGTACATAGGGTTTTCAACCCACAATAATATAATTATTATGTTTAATCATCAAACAATTAACCCAATTACCCATCCCCATTATCTTATTTACTCTTAAGGATCTACTCTAAGAGTCATCTATTCGTTTATTCCGAAGTCCCTTGCTTCCAGGGTTATAAGACCGGCACTAAGTCCATAGCTGCCAATGCACTAATTCCATAGCTGCAAAAGTTCATTCATCGGGTACTAAATCCATAGCTACCAGTGTAGGTACTAAGTCCATAGCTACCAACGTTTATCTAACAGGTACTAAGTCCATAGCTACCAGGTACTAAGTCCATAGCTACCAACACCTAACAAGTACTAAGTCCATAGCTACCAACACCTAACAAGTACTAAGTCCATAGCTACCTACGTTTACCTAATAGGTACTAAGTCCATAACTACCATCGTTTGTCCAATAGGCACTAAGTCCATAGTTGTCGGTGTTTATTTATTGGGCACTAAGTTTATAGCTGCCAATGTTTACTCACATCATATTTTATCTCTCATCATTCATCTACCCATGTTATACCCAACATATTTGTAGATATAAAATACGTATACAGTTTAAATCAGTTAAAACATGTATAAAAACGTTCATCCAGCATAGATAGCAAGTATACAGATAATATGCACACATAACACATAATTTATATTAAAATACTTCATATCTATGTGTAAGATGAAAGTAACTATGCACTCACATGATTAGGTGGTGACTCGGTACTTGAACGACGCTTCGTTATCTCAAAACAATTTTTCCTTGACCAAAACCTAGTATCAATACCACTAGGGTTTAGTTTTAACGTTAACTGTGACTAATTAATAGTCTAGCTATTATTATTATTATTATATAAGCGTTAAACAACACTCTATATAACTCATAATAATAGCCCAAATAATTATTTTAAGGTCCTAATAATGTTACTATATTAAAACATAAGCTATACTAAAGATAGGTTAGGTACAGCTCACTTACAACGAGTTTTCTTGGAAACCGGGCTCCGCTGGAGCAGCGTTCCCGAGGCGAAAGGCTCTTCTTCTCGGAGCCTTCGGGCGCTACGGGGCTTCCGCCTCGTGCTAGGGAGGTTCCCTAGGCTTTCGGGGGGTTTCGGGGGGTTTCGGGGGGTTTCGGGGCTAGATAGAAGTTCTAGAGAGAAAGGGAAGTGAGGGGAGGTGTGAGAATGAATGGAGGGGGGCATCTCTATTTATAGGAGGCTGGAGGGTCACTCATGTCGTGAATTTTTGATATTCACGTCGTGAGCCAGGCTGGCTACAGCCAGCCGCAGCCTGGTGCTGACACGTGGCATCGCACACAGGGTAGAAATCAGCCGATTTTCAAAAATTCATAACTTTCGCATATGAGCTCCGTTTTCGACGTTCTTTTTTTTCCACGCGTAGGTAAAAACAAGATATACAACTTTCATTTAGACTCCGTCGGCTAATTCTCGACCGATCTTAAATTTAACAGTACGAGGAGGTTAGACTGTTAAATGACCGCGAAGAATCCGTAACTCCTTCATACAGACTCCGTTTTCGTCTGTCTTTTTATCGTTAAGTTCCTATTAATGAGATCTTCAACTCTCATTTAGGTCGCGTAAGTCAAAAACCGTTCGAACTAAA